GTGTGTGTGTGTGTGAGAGAGAGAGAGTGAGAGTGTGTGTGTGCTGTCTGAGCGCTGTGAGATGATGCAGTGTGTTCTGTGTCTCTGAACGTGTCTGTAGTTGGTGTGGATGGATTGAGCTCAGAGTCTGACACCATTATTGTGTCTTCAGTGCTGGATTTCGTGTCTCAGGATGAGATGTTGACTCCTCTGGGCCGACTGGACAAGTACATCAGCAGCGAGAACGTCTTCAACAGGTGAACGCTGCTCTATGAAACATAGAACCCTGTTCATTTAGGATGCTGTATCCCACAATGCAGTGCACCTGACCTTCTGTTTCATTGTGTTCGGTGTGTTTCAGGCAGATGGTGGCCCGCAGTCTTCTGGACACGCTCCGAGCCGTCAGCGAGGATGAGCGCGAGTGTGTGTCTGTGCTGGAGCGGATCGACAGACTCGCAGACGACTCGGGTACTGAACCGATTCACTGATTCACTGTCCTGTCAGAGAGTCGTGTCCTGAAGACTCTGTGTTTGAGATCTGACTCCTGTGAGCTCTAGACCGATAAACATGGACCCACTCACACACACACACACTCACACACATTCTCACACACACACTCTCACACACACACACAGATGCACATACACACTCACATTCACACACACACTCTCTCTCTCTCTCACACACACACACACACACACACACTCACACACATTCTCACACACACACAGATGCACATACACACTCACATTCACACACACACTCTCTCTCTCTCACACACACACACACACTCACACACACTCTCTCTCTCTCAGACACACACACACTCACACTCACACACACTCTCTCTCTCTCAGACACACACACACACTCACACACACTCTCTCTCTCTCACACACACACACACTCACACACATTCTCACACACACACGCACACACTCGCGCACTCTCACACACTCTCACACAGACGCTCACACACACACTCACACGCACACTCACACTCACACGCACACAGACTCACACACACACACACACACACACACACACACTCACACACACTCTCTCTCTCACACACTCACACACATTCTCACACACACACGCACACACTCGCGCACTCTCACACACTCTCACACAGACGCTCACACACACACTCACACGCACACTCACACTCACACGCACACAGACGCACACACACACACACACACACACAGACGCACACACACAGACACACAGACACACACAGACCACACACACACACACACACACACACACACACACACACACACTCTCTCTCTCTCTCTCTCTCTCACACACACGCGCACACACAGACGCACACACACACTCTCTCACGCACACACCCATACTCACACTCACTCACTCACTCACACACACACACACACACACACACACTCTCTCTCTCACCCTCACACACACACACACACACACTCTCTCTTTCTCTTTCTCTCTCACACACACGCGCACACACAGACGCACACACACACTCTCTCACGCACACACCCATACTCACACTCACTCACTCACTCACACTTTTGTCAAATATAAATTTTATGCAAAATGCAAACACATGTTTATTTAAATAGAAAATGCATCATTTTCAAATGTAAACAACATTTCAGAAAACTTGTAATACAGATCCATCTTTAATTTGGTGGTTCATGAAGCTTCTGTTCGAGCTGTTTGATCGTTTCATATCTTCATGCATTATCAGCTGAAGCACACGGTCATATTTCAGCATTGCTCATGTATATCCAGCCATGTCTTGTTTCTCCGGCTGTGCTTTATGGTTTGTAGTTTTAACGGCATGCCGTTTGTTTGTCAGAGCCGACGGTTCGAGCGGAGCTCATGGAGCAAATCCCACACATCGCCATCTTCTGTCAGGAGAACAGACCTTCCATTCCCTTCGCCTTCTCCAAGTTCCTGCTTCCCATCGTGGTGCGATACCTGTCCGACCAGAACAACCTGGTAGGTGTGAGCTGTGTGTGCTGCTGCGGTTCCTCAGGAGCGCTGCTAAAGAGCCTGCTGCTGCTGCTGTGTCCCGGTCAGGTGCGTAAGACGAGTCAGGCGGCGCTGCTGGTTCTGCTGGAGCAGGAGCTGATGGAGCGAGGAGACGTGGAGAGCCTGGTGTGTCCGGTGCTGGTGGACCTGACCGCTCCCGACAGCAGCGACGACGTCAAGACCGAAGCCATGGCGGTGAGAGTCTGTGCTGCCGCAGCCGCTCGACACGTGAACATTTCTGAAAAACCCACCGCTTTTAGTAAGGAAACTAAATGTTTAAAGACCCTCAGAATACTCATCATTAATTTTATTCAGATTTTTTTACAATTCAATTTCATACAATGATCTGATCTTCAGATCAATATTGGAAAAAAAAGATATATGTATTAGGGCTGTCAGTTTAACGCGTTAACTTAATTAATTAGTTACAAAAAAAATCGTGATTTTAAAATATTTGGCCCCGCCCCCGGACCTGTACATCATCTTACATTTCATACAGTTGACAAATGTGACCCTGGAGCACAAAAGCGGAATAAAGGCTATGCCCTAAAATTCAAGATATTGGTGCAAAAAATGCCCCTTTATGTGTTTTTGTCTCATATTTATATCATACAATATCGATATCACACGAGCAAGTTTCTGAATGAATCAGCCGTTTGAACGAATCGACTGAAGACGTGTACCGCACCTTCTGGCAGATTTAGTTTCTTATTTAGAGTGTCTTTTAATCAATTAAATTAATAATAATAATAAAAACATTAAAGGGGTAGTTCATCCAAAAAGTTTTCCATAGTTTGTGTTAGGCCGTTGTAGCCGAAATGTTTGTGTAATAAAAATCTTTGTTGAATCAAATACAATTTCTAAAGCTACAATTTGTAATGTCTACTTGATACTTTCTCATTTAACAAAAATATCTTTAAATAAACTTCTGTGGGTATTTTCAGTCATATTTATTTTGCGATTAATTAGATGAATTAATCAAAACATCGTGTAATTAATTAGATTACAATTTTGAACTAACTGACAGCCTGATATATATATATATATATATATTCTCACACTAGCAGTCTAAAGTTTTTGAACAGCAGGTTTTTTGTTTTTTAAGGAAGTCTCTTCTGCTCAGCAAGCCTGCATTTATTTGATCAGAAATACAGTAAAATTGTGAAATATTATTAGAATGTAAAACAGCTGTGTTCTCTGTGAGTCTCTGTTAAACTGTAATGTATTTCTGTGATGCGCAGCTGTATTTTCAGCATCATTCCTCCAGTCTTCAGTGTCACATGATCTTCAGAAATCAGTATAATATGCTGATCTGCTGCTCGAGACACATTTCTGATTATTATCAATGTTGAAAGCAGCTGAGGAGAATTTTTCAGGATTCACAGAAGAACAGAAAGTTCAGAAGAACAGCGTTTATCTGAAATAGAAATCTTTCGTAACATTATAAATGTCTTTATCGTCACTTTTGATCAATTCAAAGCATCCTTGCTAAATAAAAGTATTAATTTCTGTAATTTCTTCTATCATTTTCTGATCACATAAATGCAGGCTTGGTGACTGGTGGTGTGTATATATCATTTATCTTTTGCATCGCAGTGTTTTTGGTGTGGTTTGTGTGTAATCAGAAATGTCTAAGAATTTCTCAGAAAGGGCTAACGTTCCAGACGTTTTTTCACATCGACTCGTTCATGAGAAGTTGCTGATTAGACTCGATATGGTTTTAGTTGAACAATATTAAGTTATGAGTGTCTTGTAGGCTAATGTTTCTCTACGATGCTTCTGAGAAACACAGCCCTGAGATGAGAGCTCATGATCGGAATATGATTGGATGTAGCTCGTGTGTGTCATCTTTTTGTTTCTGATTTTTTAATCTCAGATTATTTGTAAAATGGCTCCGATGGTGGGGAAGGACGTCACCGAGCGGCTCTTTCTGCCGCGCTTCTGCGAGATGTGCTGCGACTGCAGGATGTTCCACGTGCGCAAGGTGGGTGAATCTGATTGGCTCAGGAGGATGACGGCTGGATCTGATTGGTTCGTGCTCGTGTTCGGTCCTCGGCGCTCATCAGACGTGTGTTTGTGTCCGACAGGTTTGTGCGGCGAACTTCGGAGACGTCTGCAGTGTGGTCGGCGGAGAGGCGACGGAGGAGCTGCTGGTACGTTCAGTTCAGGGGAGACGGCGGGGCAAGTTGTCACGCGGTTTAGTGGTTTAAAGTCAAACAAGTGCTTGTTTTCTCTAGCGGCAAGATATTAATGTATGTTTTTTTTGTTTGCTTCTGTATTCCATAGTAGTTTTTATGTTTTGCTTTGCTCAGCGTTGTAGGCTGTAAAGTGTGTGTCTGTAGAAACACACAGAAAGGGCCGTCTCAGGTGATGTTATGGGCTGTGTTGCTCTCTTCCGGCAGCTGCCGCGCTTCTTCCAGCTGTGCTCTGATAACGTGTGGGGCGTGAGGAAGGCCTGCGCCGAGTGCTTCATGACCGTCTCCTCGGCCTCGTCTCCAGACGTGCGGCGCAGCAAACTCTCGTCTCTGTTCATCAGTCTGATCAGCGACCCGTCGCGCTGGGTACGTCATCAAACACTGCATCTACTGCTTTATTTATTTTGTTATTATTCCAACACTTTTCTGGATTGCATTTAAATGCTTGAAAAGTAAACGTTAGTAATCAGAACGCATGTCTAATTAATTTAAATCATGAAAACTATACAAATGAACAATTATTTAATAAAAGTTTAACAAAAACTCGATTTTGATCTCAAAATCTCAAATTTTGAGATTTTGAAAAAATTACATTTTAACTCCGTTTTATTTTCCGTTTAAAAATCTTTTTTTTTTTTTTTTTCCCCCAACTTCCATGTTTTCTGTTTTCATTTTTCTCCATTGCATTTTTAAAGGTTAAATATTAATATTCATAAAGCTAAATCCTGAAACTTACATATGTGAGCCTGCAGCACAAAAGCAGTGTTGAGTCGCTGGGGGATATTTGTAGCAATAGCCAACAATACATTGTATGGGTCACAATTATACATTTCTCTTTTATGCCAAAAATCATTAGGATATTAAGTAAAGATCATGTTCCATGAAGATATTTTGTAAATGTCCTACCGTAAATATATCAAAACTTAATGTTTGATTAGTAATATGCATGGCTAAGAACTTCATTTGAACAACTTTAAAGATGATTTTCTCAATATTTAGATTTTTTTGCACCCTCAGATTTTCAGATAGTTGCATCTCGGCCAAATATTGTTCTGTTAATATGGAGAGCTTATTTATTCAGATGATGCATAAATCTCAATTTCCAAAAATTGACCCTCATGACTGGTTTTGTGCTCCAGGGTCACAAATACAATTTAAAAACAATGTAATAAAAGTTGAACAAACTACATTTTTAGGGCCCTTTGAAATCTTTTTCGCAAATTCCGTTTTATTGTGTTTCTGCAGTTTAAATTTTTCTGTGTTACATTGTAATGATTTTATGACATTTTAATAATCAGTATAATGTTTAATCACTAGGGTTTGGGTTTTTATTTAATATTTTAATAATTTTAACAATTTATTACAATTTTAGGGCCCTATGAAATATGAAAATGAATTTATTTATTTATTTATTCCCAGAAATTGTCATTTTAATATTTCAGGATTCTGTTTTTTTTTTACTTCATACGAATTTATGATCAAAAGAATGCATAAAGCGAATAATTTGATTGCTCATTTAATATGTAAGCAAAAATAAAATCCATTTCTTTTTAATAAATTTAATTAAATTAAAACAAGGATAAAAAATTGTAGTATTACCATTTTATTATTACTTCTTAAGTACATCCTACTCTTGAATGAAGTGAAGCGGTTTGTTTTCTGTTTGAATAGTGTCTTTCACAGCCGCGCAGGAGATCCATTCACACACG